GCGTGCGCTTCGCTGACGCCCTGGGCCTGGAGCTGACGCAGGTCAAGGTGTTCAACACCGGGGAGGACCCGTCCGTGCCTCTGCATGTGCTGTCGCGTCTGGCCATCGACTCGGACCTGTGCTGCAGCAGCCAGGACCTGGAGTTCACGCTGCAGTGCCTGGTCCCCGACTTCCCGCCGCCCATCGAAGTTCCCGGCTTCGGAGAGCGCCTGGCACGGCAGCTCGTGTGCCTGGAACGTGTCACCTGCTCGGACCTGGGCATCAGCGGCACAGTGCGCGTGCGCAACGTGGCCTTCGAGAAACAGGTGGCGGTACGCTACACCTTCTCCGGCTGGCGCAGTGCGCATGAGGCCGTGGCTCGCTGGAGAGGGTCTGCGGGTACCGAGGGGACCGAGGACGTCTTCGCCTTCGGCTTCCCAGTGCCACCCTTCCTGCTGGAGCTCGGCTCCCAAGTACTCTTTGCCCTGCGCTACTGTGTGGCTGGTGCTGAGTACTGGGACAACAACGATGGCCGTGACTATGGCCTCACTTGTCGCCGTCACGACCTGCGCATGCCACGCGGGGAGTGCGAAGAGAGCTGGATCCACTTCATCTGAGCTTCTGGCTGTGAACCTGGAGCTTCTCCACGGCTGCTGATCTCTGAGTGGACGCCTCCACCCCACTCTTTCTTCCCGGTAGTCTCGTTCCTTGCTGTGCAGCCCTCCAGCAGTGGCCTGGCCTGCCTTTAGTGAATTCTCTGGAGACCTTGGTGGCCAGAGGATCAGGAGCCTGTGTGGTGCACCTGGGGGGAGAGTGTGGGAGGGCAGCTGCCTGGGGTTGTGATCCTTAATTACTGGAGGACCTGGGTGGTGTTTTGCTGAGAGCGCCTTTTGCATGTCACTTCAGTGTGTCTAAACAAAAGTAGCTGTTATTTATTATTGTGAAGTTAGCCTTCCACCCACAGCGGGTGCCTTCTCAGGAGAACTCTAGCTTTAGTAAGCTTAAAGAAAGCCTGTTGTCTGTTTGCACCCACGGTGTGGCCTGCATTATGGTCCCTCGAGGCATTTCTGCCCTAGGTCGGTTAAAAACTTGAGACCATGTTTGCTTGCCAATGTTTGGAGCCTTCCAACAGTAGAAACTATTAATAGTCAAGAAATGTACCACTCATCTGTCATCCCACAACCCTTTCTGGGCTTTGAGGGTGCCCTGGTTAGGCGATGCCTCTCACGTCAACAGCTGGGAAAGGAGTGGGCTGAAAAGCTTCCAACCCCACAATTTAGCCCAAACAGTGCTTTCTTTGGGGACTACCTGTTCATGTCTTTGTCTTCTGGTCTGGTACTGGGTCTGCACATTAACAGGCCATATTCTGTTTAGGTTTGGAAGGACCTGAACCTTTGAAAAGATCTTGCCTTAAGTTATTTCCGTTTTCAAGTGGCCACAGGGATCCGGGCAGGAGTGCCCTTCCCAGTGACCCTTTCCACGAAAGAGATGGCTTTTTTTTTTTTTATTTCTAAGTATGGGAGGATTCCAGCCTCCATATTTTGGAAATCAGCTTTCAGGTGAACCTGGATGGTGTTTTCAGAAACAGCCAGGGCACTGGAGGAAAAACATTATTCACAGATTTTTATATACCTAATGGGTTTTAAATTGTACTGTATGTCAGGTTTCCCAACTACCCGCCTCTTTATTCTTTGTGCCTTCAGTTAGGAAAGTTGCTAACATTTTTTATAGGCTTCCCTCCACCCCTGCCCCAGTTTTAAAATGTTAAATGCTTTTTTAAAACAAAACAACAACCAAAACCTCCAACTTAGTCCAGACCACTCACTGTTCCTTGCAGGACGTCCCTGCTGCTTAAAACCCCCATGGAGGGGCTGGCATTCTTTTTGGTGCTGAGCTGTGGTCTCTCTGATAGCAGGTGCTAGAACTGAGGCAAAACCAAGTGAGGTGGACAACGCCTCCCAGATGTGACTTTTGCATTTGAGACTGTGGAAGTCTCACCTGTCACCGGTTAGTTTTTGAGTGTTGATGTCTGTTAAATCAGCATGGAAAAAATGCACCTTACCCTTTTACCTGTTTGGTTTTGATACTTGAAACTTCTGCCTTTTAAAATTCCATTAACAGTGTTGGCTTTCTCCGGTACCTTCTGGACTAAGACAAGTTTTGACTTAAAACACCATGATAAAAGGGATACAGCCTTTGGCTGTTAGGACTCTGCACTACATGGACTTTCGAGAGTGAGAAGAGCCCAGAGGCGTTTCCTGCTGCTTAATGAACTGTCCCATTGGGTCACCAAACCCCAGAGGTCGTGGCTGCCCTGTCCTTGGCCCCTGTCCAGAATGTAAGATAATGGTCCAGACTCTTCAGGTAAAAGTTAGGACTGCTCGGGGTACTGTTGCGTCAAAGCATGTAGAGAGAATTTTACAGTCCGTGGGAAAGTCAATCATTTGTCCAAGGGTCTGGTTACAGAAAAGTAAATGATATATTATCCAAATTGAGAGAACCTTAAGGTGCCTTTTAAGACACACCAACAATTTGAAATCTACAGCTTAAAGGCAATTTTGCTTGATTTAAAACATAATGATAAAAGCTTTAGACATTCTGGGTGAACCTTCTGACCCTAAGACAGACATCTGTTGAGAGATGTTAAAATTGTGTGGATTTGTGCACTTATTGGGTTGTGTCCCCAAATGTATTTAACTGCCTGCCACTTACAATTATTTTACTCAAGCCTAAATATTAAAGTACACATGCAAAAATGTCCCTTTGTTAAGCTGGTTATGTGTCCTATAGAAGACAAAGTTTTGGAACATCTTGCTGTTTGGACCGACTCATATAGAAGTCTCATCTTTCCCCAGACATGGATGAGTCCTGGGCCTTCTCTGGAGGGACTCCTCTGTCCACAGCAGAGTTGTACGTGTGTTGCTGAATTACCTTGCCTGGGGAGACTTAAAGCCCACCCCTCCTCCTGCCTCAATAAAAAAGGCAAGGTACAGTTTTACCAGAGTTCATCCTGGGGAACCAATGAGTTCACTGGGCATATTTTGGAGCAATGGATCAGGGGCTGTGTCAGGAGCAGGGGTGACCTTAAAGTAGCCATACTGGGTGATCTGCACATAACAGTGATGAAGATGACCCCAAGCTGTGCAGATAGAGTGCCCTCCCATAATCCTTCCCCACCTTTACCCTGTAGCCCAGTGGGTCTCATGCTTCCTAACGCTTCGACCCCTTTGACCCCTTAATACAATTCCTCATGTCATAATGAAAATATCTGATATGCAGGATATCCAATATGTGACCTCCAAGGGAGTCTCCAGCCACAGGTCAAGAACTACTGCTCTAGCCCTTCCCAGAGGCTCAGAGGCCATTGCAATTGGGGCTGAATTGCATGCAGCTGGTTGGGAGAGGTGGTTGGTTGCACTCAGGCTAGGATCCTATCACCCTTCCTGCCCCCCCCACCCCAAGAAGAAAGGTCAACAAACACAACTGTGGTGATTTTTGGCAGGCAAGCTCAGCCAAACTCATGAACATAGATCTACAGCTCGGCTTGGAGGATAGTCCTGTACATCAGTGTGTGTTTATAAAACTAAAACTCCTTACGCTATAGGCCAGAGTTCGGGGGCTGTGATCATTGTGTTTTTTCTTATATTTCACTGTGACTCCTGTGGCCCCCAGCCTACACTGGACTTTCAGCCAATTACAGTCTTACACACATTAAGGAGGAAAAAGACTGGCATTCAGTGTATCTTGTCTTATTTGTGTTTGGAATTAATAACTCCTGTTTTCTTAGCTGAAAAGAGAGGCTTAGAGGTGAATTTCAACTGCTCTCCCCTAGCCAGCTGGTCTCCAATTTAGCATTCAACCCATGTCCAGCTCCATGTTCTTTCTGCCAGGAGAGATGGCCCACAACCTGTTTCCAATAAGAGCTTGCTAAATTTACTGGAAAAGGGTTAGGGGACACAACTCTTAGTTTGACTAACACAAGACCAGAGGTTTAATATCTGGCCCTGCAGAGAGCATGTGACCAGAAACCAAATTTTGATAATGACTGATAAGGTTTCCTTTCTAAAATCTTCAAGTAAAACCAATTCAGGCAAGAGTAAATGAGTTTTCTTACTTTTCTATTACTTCAATAAAACACCATGACCAAAAGACACTGCAGGAGGAGAAGGGGTATTTCCTCTTAGACTCCTGCATTGTGATGTCCATCACTGAAGGATGTCAGGACAAGAATTCCAGGCAGAACTGAAGCAAAAGCCATGGGGGAGTACTGCTTACTGGCTCCCCCCCCCCCCATGGCTTGCTGAGCCAGCTTTCTTATACCCCCAGGAGCATCTGTTCTGGGGTGGCACTGCCCTCTGAACTAGGCCCCTCCCATGTCAATTGTTAGTTAAGACAATAGCCCACAGACTTGTCAACAGGACAATCATTTGACATCGTTTCCTCAAGTAAGATTCCCTCTTCCCAGTCACATGAGGTTTGTCTTGAATTGACAAAAACCTTCGGACGGGAATACTATACTTTCTTCCTTCATGTTACTGTTTAAAGACACATCTGTGTCTCTACTAGCAAGCTACTAACAAGCTGCTTGTCAGGAAACCACTACATTGCATCATGGATGATGGTAAGTCTGTTACGAGAAAGCGGAGCGTGAAAATAATGATGCAAGTCTCAGGTCATGAGGCTGAGACACTCTGATCTTAGGTTTTGTATAATATACTCCTAGTACTTACGTTTAACTAACTCGAAAAGCATTGGAAGCTCAATGTCTACAATACCCAACTGCAAACGTTGATTATTATTATTTTTTTTAAAGTTAGGATCTCCCTGGACCTGCAATCCCAGCCATTTGGGAAGCTGAGACAGGAGAATCTTAAATTCAGCTTACACACCTGGGCAGCCTAGCTTCTGTGCTAGAAAGTACAAAGAGGGCTGGAAATGTAACTCAATGGTGGATCACTTTTCTGGCATGCACCAGGTTCTGGGTTCAGTGAGGGATTAGCTCAAAATTCAGTTTAACAAGGCACAAACAAAGTTGTAATGATGTCTGTAATTCTAGCTAAGCCAAAGTTATAAACACCACAGTTTATTCTGTTCGTTTTGAACGGCTTGGTCCTCAGGGTTTGTGCGTGTGTGTGTGTGTGTGTGTGTGTGTGTGTGTGTGTGTGTGTGTGTGTGTGTGTGTGTATTTTCCAAGCGCTTTCCAAAGCGCATTTAAGTCAGAACCTTGTGTGCTGGTGGCTTGTTGTGGAAGGCAGCCATCCCCCCCCCCTTCGCGAGAATAGCTGTTACTACTGGGAAGACCCTAGAAGGATTGACCTGCTGGCTACTGACATTCTTCCAAAGAACTGGGTAGGATGAGTCACTGGGCCCTCACCTGAGAATCCAGTCACTCCTTTTGCACGCCCCTCTCCAGCTACATGTAATTCAGCTCAATTACACGTGGTGCCATGGGCTTGGGCGCTGCTAGAGTACATAAGGAGTAGAGTGGTTGCCCCAAGAAGAGCGTCTCTGGTGTTGCAACCACGGGGAAGTCGACATTAATCGCCCATGTGAGGCTTAGGCTATTCGGTGACGCTGCTGCTGCTTCGAGGTCACTTGCATCTTGTTAAAGTAGGCC